GGGAGAGTCGGTGTACTCGGGTATGATTAGGGCCACTGCTTGTCTAAAGCTTGTTCATTGCATTTTGCAGGATCCTTGTTAGTCAATGGGTTAAGTAGACCTGGGTATTTTTGCATTAAGGCTAAGTTGGGCTTGTTAAACCAATTTAAACACAAAAAAGAAATCACAGCATATTTGCATGTCATTTTCGTTATTAACCAGACAGAGAGTTTTCGTTTCAGCAGGACCCGGGTAGCGATACACCAAATTCATGTGTCTGCATATTCAAAACTCCATTAACTAACCCATTGTGAAGAAAATAGCCTACAGTTGATAAGCAAAGACTTAGTCCTAGGGTAACAGGTTTCATTTATTTACAACGTGTTTGCTGCGCTTTCCTATCTTAACTTGGTCTACTCTTGGAGGTTCATTGGCAAGGTAAATATTTGTGCCTTTTTACTTTCTCAGTTTGGTCTACTGTTTGACGTCGGACAGCGAAACCTCATTGACTCACATTTGTAGGTTTAAATGCAGTCCTTATGAACTCTGCAGAACACGCTCTACTATTATCTGCTTCAAGTTAAAAGAAAATATTTAGGCAATATCGTTGCATTCCACACACTGGCATGCGTGCTACTGACACAAAATGAGTTACCTGTTTGCTGGACATAAATGTCTCAAAATGCTTCCTCTGATTTTGGTGCACAAGTAGCAACTTACTTCATTAAAAATCAATGCCGTTAATTCCTGTGTATTGCTGGAATGAAAGGACTTAACAAAGCTTCACCAAAACACAAACGCATTCAAACGCCTGGTTGACGCGGCTATAATAAATGTGTGTAGCAGTTTTCTCCTAACTTGTCTCCGTTCTCGGATTGTGTGGGAGATCTTATTTGATGAAGCAGATGTAAAATAAGCTGCACTACCTTAAACAAATTGGCACTTGTGACACGATGTAGGTGGCATGACACATGACCACCATTGAATTTAAAGGAGCCTCTTCATGTCAGGTAAACGTGTTTGTCAAGGACGAAGATCAAGTACCAATTTTAGAAGCTAACTTTAATGCAGAATTCAATTTAAGATGTCTGGTAAAAAATGCCTCCACAGCCAAGACACCAATGTAGATTTGTGACAAAATAGTAATTGGCAGTCTGTCCTTGTAGTAGTAGCACTAGTAATAAGTAAATACCAATCGTGTAACTCCAAATCATTTCGCTTTAATCGAACGCAGCATATGTGACCAGGGATCGCATGCAGACGGTCAAATTCACAAGTGTGTTTGAATGTTATATTTGGTAAATCTATTTAAATTAACGAAAGCGGTATACATATATGCTTGAGCTTTGAGAATAATAGGTTGGCTTTCCATTTCACACCTAGAGGAACTTTTGGCCTAGTCTAGGAGGCATATCACATGACCAACTCTAAACACGACAGTGCCTGACAAAATTTGTCAACGGAATTAGGAATGATTCGTGTGTCTACCAAACTTATTTTAAGATACGTCAGCGCATGAGTGAAAAAAATGAACGACGGAACAGGTTAAAATATTGGGATGCAATGCTGCGAATTCAAAAGATTAAGGGCCAGGCTTGCTATCTGAACAAAATTAGCGTTTAGTTTGTGATGAATCGCATCCCAGTGTACTTTTAGTGTGTGTCCATATCTGTCCTACGCGCGAGCCTAATAAATAGTGCTGCATTCCCCATTAAGATAGGATGTTCGTTGTACTCGATGAAGCAGGGATCTCAGGATATATGGCACTTGGTAATGTCATTTTAGATTACAATAATGCTATCCTGTCCGAAGAAGAAACGCTTCTAAAGCAAATATTCCTTGTTCCATAATAAATGAATTACCTCTTGCTGCTAGTCCAACATCCTCCCTTTTCCTCAACGTCTAATCGGATCATCATGTTAAATCTAATTAATATTTTTTCTCTGGCTTAGTAAAGCATCTGATATTAGAGGAGCTGCCTCGACTGTGCCAAACACGCACATTTGAATTATCACGCCACCCATTCGAGTGAGGAGGTTGTACTTGAAATTTATTATGTGACATGGCAATTACAGGCGAGGCTGTATGAAAGTTACAGCATATATTTCATTTCAACACTTCCAGTAGAAAATGAGATACAAGGAAAAAAATCGGTGTGTTTAAACGAAAGTGGAAATATAAATATTTTCATGTGCATGTTTTGTGAAAATGGGCAATTGATTCTGCAGCGTTTAACTTGTGGCCTGAAAAGAATCAAGCAATGCTTCGTGCTGGCATGGCCGCTTACCTAGTTTAAGAGATATACTTCTATGAACGCTAGCAAAAAATTACCTTTAGCTGAATTGAAGGACCAAGGTCTACGGCTTTAGAGTCATTTCCTAGTATATATTCGCTAAATTTGAAAATTTGGCTTGGAATTTCAAAACCTATGCCTATTAGGTATTGCTCAGCGTCCGTTTCGCCTTCAAATATACGCATCCTCATATAAACAACTGTGTCTTTTATGTCTTTATTCCGTCACTAAATAAGTTAATGGACATATTTTAGTATAATCCCGGTGCCGACGTGGACGCAAATTTAACAAGTCATGACATTGGGCAACAATCATGGCCCTAATAATTGACGTACCTATTTAAGAGATCTAAGGTACACAGAGCTTCATTTTCACTTTTGCCTTGTCCTTGGAGAGCAAACCATGCTCTGTTGTACCAGTCGATTTCAAATTTTGGCTTCGAAAATTAGACAGCATATTATAATAACAATGGTAGGAATATTGCTCAAGAAATTGCTAGTGTAGTATGGCAAACATACATTTACTTGACTAAACGGCTTTAATAAAAATGTTAGAAACCTATATAATATTTAATTTTGTTAGACAAAGCATAATATCGCCAATAAGAACAGATGCCAGTCCATTTGACTGGAAGAGTAATTAAGGTTGTGTGGTCGCCTGGCAAATTTTATTACATTTAGCGTTCGCAAAGAGGAATGTTGACGGAAGAATATGCCAAAATAAATAGAGTAAGTAAAAGACAAAAGCAACAAAAAGAATTGACAATTTCCTGCGAGAGCAAAAAAACTTGTCTGTGGAAACCACTGATTTGCCGACATTGCTTAAATTAACAACCCGACAGCTAAGATCATCTCGGAAGCCGAGGTCGTGCTAGTAGTTGCTTGATTAGCAGAGGAATCTACTGAAATAGGTGATCCAGACTAAGTAGTGTTTGTTGGTGATGGACTGGTTGATGCTTGTCTTGTTGATGGTGGTGAAACGTTTGATGTTAGAAAAGATTGCAGGGAGCTTATTTCTGAATTTCATTAATAGAAAACAAAGAGCCAAATAGGAGAACACACTGTGTGGTTGCAGATGGCATGGCTGCATCTACATAAAGGTGACGTTGACTGCACTAAAGCAAGAAATTTGGCATTACAAAATTGCTTAATGAAAAGAAGGGGAACCATGATGTGTATCAATAACCACATAGATGCCACACTTCATATTGAATGACATATGAGCTAGTGATCAGATTGGCTGAGGACTGCTTCCTCCAATCAGGGCATCGGTCAATGCGGGTATATATGCAGCGGCGACGTGGGCTCCACATCCCTGCTTCGAGTAAGACTTATTTAAATTTGCACACTGTGTTTGCAGGAATACTGCTTAATAAATTCAAATTAAATTGCTTGACTTTGTGTTGTAGAAATGAGGAAGAACTTGGTTTGTCTTCTTGCTCTAATGTGGTGCATTGCAGCAAGTCCTGGATGGGACGAAAATTCTAGGTTGAATGTACAAGCTGCAGAAGGGGTCAGCAATCGGTCTGATTCACCCAAATCCGATACAACAATGGAAACAGCAGCACTAAAAGTGTCATCAACAAGAACAGTAACAGAATATAAAACAGCAACAGCAAAACCATCACCAACAGCTATGCAAACAGAAATGGCAACTCACAAAACAACAACTATAGCAACAGCAACGGCAACAGCAATAACATCAGCAACAGCAACACCAACAGCAAGAGCATCGCCAACAACATTAGCAAAACAAACTGAAACGGGAACATTAACATCAACAGCAACACCAACGCCAACATTAACATCAAAGCCAACGTCAACAGCAACGCAAGAAACAACTACAACGCAAACAGAAACGACATCTCCAACAGCAACAGCAACGCCAGCAACGACATCAGCAACAGCAACAGCATCGCCAATAACAGCAGCAACGCCAACAGCAACAGCAGGGCCAGCAACAACAGCAACGCAAACAGAAATGGCAACACCAACAGCAACACCGTCAGCAACAGCAACAGCAACGCCAACATTAACATCAACGCCAACGTCAACAGCAACGCTAGCAGCAACAGCAACGCAGACAGAAACGACATCTCCAACAGCAACAGCAACGCCAGCAACAACATCAGCAACAGCAACACCAACAGCAACAGCAGCGCCAGCAACAACAGCAACGCAAACAGAAACGGCATCTCCAACAGCAACACCAACGCCAACATCAACAGCAACGCCAGCAACAACATCAGCAACAGCAACACCAACAGCAACAGCGGCGCCAGCAACAACAGCAACGCAAACAGAAACGGCATCTCCAACAGCAACACCAACACCAACAGCAACGCCAGCAACACCAACACCAACAGCAACGCCAGCAACAACAGCAACGCAAACAGAAACGGCATCTCCAACAGCAACACCAACACCAACAGCAACGCCAGCAACGACAGCAACGCAAACAGAAACAACAGCATCAACACCAACACCAACAGCAACGCTAGCAACAACAGCAACGCAGACAGAAACGGCATCTCCAACAGCAACACCAACACCAACAGCAACGACAGCAACGACAGCAACGCAAACAGAAACGGCATCTCCAACAGCAACACCAACACCAACAGCAACGCCAGCATCGACAGCAACGCAAACAGAATCAACAACACCAACACCAACAGCAACGCTAGCAACAACAGCAACGCCAGCGACAACATCAACGCAAACAGAAACGGCATCTCCAACAGCAACACCAACAGCAACGCCAGCAACACAAACACGAACAGCAACGCCAGCAACAACAGCAACGCAAACAGAAACGGCATCTCCAACAGCAACACCAACACCAACAGCAACGCCAGCAACGACAGCAACGCAAACAGAAACAACAGCATCAACACCAACACCAACAGCAACGCTAGCAACAACAGCAACGCAGACAGAAACGGCATCTCCAACAGCAACACCAACACCAACAGCAACGCCAGCAACGACAGCAACGCAAACAGAAACAACAACATCAACACCAACACCAACAGCAACGCCAGCAACAACAGCAACGCAAACAGAAACGGCATCTCCAACAGCAACACCAACAGCAACAGCAACGCCAGCAGCAACAGCAACGCAAACAGAAACGGCATCTCCAACAGTAACATCAACGCCAACAGCAACACCAACGCCAACATCAACAGCAACGCCAACAACAACAGCAACATCAGCGCCATCAGCATTTCCAACACCAACAGCTTCACCAAAAGTAACAGTAG